AGATGGCCGCAGCGACGCTGACGCTCCTCCTTCCTCCGCCTGGCCTCCCGGAGTGTTCCCTTCCCCGGCCGACAGAGAGCCCAGAAGAGCGGCTCCTCCCCCCTTGATGTGAGTGTCCAGAGCGGCTCCTCCCCCCTCTACGTGAGTGCCCGGACCAGCCCCTCCCACTCCAGGGTGAGTGCCTTGAGGGGCTCCTCCCTCCTCCGCCAGAGCTCCCAGAGCGTCCCTGCCTGCCAGAGCTTCCGGAGTGTCATCTCCTTCCTCCGCCAGAGCTCCCAGAGCGTCCCTGCCTGCCAGAGCTCCCGGAGTGTCATCTCCTTCCTCCGCCAGAGCTCCCAGAGCGTCCCTGCCTGCCAGAGCTCTCGGAGTGTCATCTGCTTCCTCCGCCAGAGCTCCTAGAGCGTCACCGCCTGCCAGAGCTCCCAGAGCGTCACCACCTGCCAGAGCTCCCAGAGCGTCACCGCCTGCCGGAGCTCCCAGAGCGTCACCGCCTGCCAGAGCTCCCAGAGCGTCACCGCCTGCCAGAGCTCCCAGAGCGTCACCGCCGACTACGCTCACGATGGCCGCCGCCACGACTACTCTCACGATGGCCGCCGCCACGACTACGCTCACGATGGCCGCCGCCACGACTACGCTCACGATGGCCGCCGCCACGACGACGCTCACGATGGCCGCCGCCCGCCGCTCACGATGGCCGCCGCCACGACTACGCTCACGATGGCCGCCGCCACGACTACGCTCACGATGGCCGCCGCCACCACGCTCACGATGGCCGCCGCCACGACTACGCTCACGATGGCCGCCGCCACGACTACGCTCACGATGGCCGCCGCCACGACGACGCTCACGATGGCCGCCGCCACGACGACGCTCACGATGGCCGCCGCCACGGCTACGCTCACGATGGCCGCCGCCACGACATCGCTCACGATGGCCGCCGCCACGGCATCGCTCACGATGGCCGCCGCCACGCCGCTCAAGATGGGGGTCGCCACGCCGCTCAAGATGGCGGTCGCCACGCCGCTCAAGATGGCGGTTTCCATGCCGCTCAAGCTGGCAGTCGGCCACCAAGGCCCATTAAGGGCCAGACCCGCGGACATTCCCCCTGTTGGGACTGACCCTTTGGGGTGGACTGTTGGTTCTCTCCTGTTGCCCCCTTGTTGTTTTTTTTTGTTATCTTTCGGCTATCTGGGGAGCTAGCCTTTTGGTGGGGGATACTGTCACGAGTGGTTAGGGGGCGTTGCTGCACTGTTTGTATTTCGGTGAAGCACTTCCTGGTTTTTGGTTTATTAGTCACGGCTGTTTTCATTCAGTCATTAGTCCGGGCTATAAAGGGGATCTAGGATTATTCACAGGTGTTCAGCATTTGTTTGATGTCAGATGGTAATAGCGGTGAGTGTTTGTGTTACCTGTTACCTGTTGTTCGTGAACGTTTTTGTATAAGTCGCTATATGCGCATCTTTGATTTAAGTTCAACAGTTTAGTGTGTTTTCGCCGTACTCGGTTTGTTTTACTTTGAATTGTATTAAATAAAACCTGAGAAACGGATCATACGTCTCTGCAGATGGCTCTCACCACACTACGCCGCTCCATTCATGACAAAATGGACAATTCACGTTGTGATGACTGACAACCGTGGTGGACCTACGTGAACCATCCCAGAGGTGTTCGTGGTGATGCGGATGCGTGGGGTGGAGTTGTACGGCAGGAGGGAACGACCAATCCGGAGTCGTCATCATTGCTGGGTGAGAGAATTCCATCACATAACTCGTCGCACATGATATTGTTAAAAACATTTAGAGTAGATTATGATAATGTTTTGTTTATCAAAATGTTTATTTTAGTTTTTGTCACATGGAGATGTTCATGTGTCAAAAAGGGGGGATTGTAGATATAATACATTCATTTGTGAGATCAATCCATTATGAAATTAGTTGATTATGCTGGTATTTGGAGTTAAATTATGTTAGTGTGCTTGTCTGTTCCCTGTGTCGACCAGGGGACTGCATAGCTGCTGACAGGTTTAAATCTTGCTAGACATCA